GCAGTAGGGGATGGCAAAGAGTTTCTATGCCATCTCTGCCATCAGAGGATCATTTTTTAGTTGGGGAGATCCTCCATGGGTCTGTGGTGCTGCTTTTAGGTCCAGTTTATTTCAGTGTTCTGCTCAAACCAGTGCACAGTTAATTTAATTTCTTATGCCAGCAGAACTCCATAGTCATGATAATATAGAAGGTTACTGGGTTATTGAAATGAAAAGTTTTACGCTACATGAAATGCCATTTTTTCTTCTGTAAGTGAGCTTTTTGTAGCTTACCAAATCATGATGAAAGGGAAGTGTACAAGCCAGGGGTTTCAAAACTGGTCATTTCCTAAATTGTTGACTGTTTGTGATGTTCTGTTCCACAGCTTCAAAAACTTCTCACTATGGATCCTACAAAGAGAATTACCTCAGAGCAGGCTTTGCAGGATCCCTACTTCCAGGAGGATCCACTGCCTACATCAGAGTACGTCTTGCTTTTCCTGTGCTTTTTACTGGGATGCTTCTTTTCTGTTAAGCATCAATGTATTGTATATGGTGACCATTTAAAATGAAAAAATACGCTTGCAGCTGAAACAGTTTCCCTCACCATCATGATTGTAACTCAAAACTTTTCAAGACAACCTGTAGTGTAGGAGAGAACAAAAACTTTGAAGTTGCTTTTCCCAGTAAAGATGGGAAAATGAAGGAACAGAGATGATTCTCAGAAACCTATTCTGTCCCTTTTGGGGCATCTGTCATTCAGAAAATGTATAAAATACACTTAGTTCTGATTTATTTTTGACAAATCAGACTTTATTAGATCCACAAACTCTCTTGCTCAGAGATCGTGAATTTTACCAGTAGCGATATTGTGATATGGTCAAATCATTTCAACTGCTGTTATAAAACTATCAAAATCCTTTTGAGCTGGTAGGAATATCTTCCACAGCAAAGGTGTCAAATGAATGCCTACAGCAGGGAATGGCAAAATACAGCCCATTGGCCAGATCTGGCCCACCAGGCTATTCTATCCGATTTGCAGGGGCCCCTAAAAAATTTAGAAATTTAATATTTATCTGCTTCTGGCTGATTGTCAAAGATGACAGCAGCCAGCAGCAGTAGGACCTAGGGGGTGCTAGCAGCAGGATTAAGCAGCCACAGCAGCAAGGCTGGCCCAGGACTGCCCCACCCCCACCCTCAGCCCCACCCCTAGCCAGAAGCCTCTGCCTAGCAGAGGCCTGGGACCCTGGGGCTGTTCCTGCCTCCCTGTGCCAGAGGGAAATTTAAATAAGAAGGTGGGGAGGGAGGCAGGGGAGGACTGCAGACAATCACTCCAGTCCTCAGGGCCAGGCTGAGCTGGCTCCTGCAGTCCCAGCGATGCATCCAGGAACCACGTGGTGCTGGAGCACCCAGCTGGCGGGAGGGAGGGGACTGAGGAAATGGCTGCAGAAAGTGAGGGGAAAAGGACAGTGAGTGGGCGCGCAGAGCACAGCAACAGCTGGGCGGGAGCACAGGGCCCGCACCAGTGTCCTGGGGCCAGTGCTGCCAGGGCCCAGAGTGGGGCAGCAGGAGCATGGGACTGGGCCGGCAGGGGCTTTGTGGAGCTGAGTTGGCTCCCCCCCTCTCCCTGCTGGCTAAGCCCAGCCCAGTTCCATAGAGCCCCTGCCAGCCCATGCTCCACCCTGGGCTCCCAGTTACCTTGGCCCTGGCGCGGGCTTCATGCTTCTGCCCAGCTGTCGCTGCGCACCACGCACTTGCTCGCTGCTACTCTTCCACCACCTGCCATGGCCATTTCTCAGCTTTCCTGCCTGCCGCTCCGGCACCATGCGAGTCCAAGCTGCAGCACTGGGCTGCAGGACTCGGCAGGAACCAGTCCGGCCCCTGCAATTCTCAGCTGGCTCCATGCAGTGCTGGCTAGGCTGGTCCGGTTCCTGCTGTGGTCTCGGCTGTGCAGCTGGGACGTGGCACTGGAGCGGCAAGTGTGGGGGCAGGAGAGGATGGGGAAGTGGCATGAGAAGGGCAGCAGTGGCAGATGAGAGGAGGAAGTGACGGTGAGCAGGAACACAGTGCCCCACGGCCTGCTGTTGGGGGCTGGGGGGGGGGGGCTGTGGGCAAGCCGTTCCCCTCCATGCAGTGCCACAACCCTCCCCAGCCACCCTCCCCCCACACTCACAGCCCCTCACCAACCTCATACCCCCCACACACATCCACACACACCCCCACATGCTCTCCCACCCCGCATAGACATGCCCATACCCCTCATGCCTACCTACCCCTCCACAAACCCCAGATACACACCCATACCCTCTCCCACACCCCACATAACTACACACCCACAAACTTATACCCACCCAACCACCCCCTCCCACAATATACAAGAATAAGATTTCATTTTAAGCTATTATATTGTCACCTGTATGTACACTACACAAACACATGTAAAACAGGACAAAATATTTTTTTAATGAAATTAATTAATGTTGTAGTACATGTTTTGATTTTTAGAATATAATTTGGTATTTTTCTGGTTCCGATATGGCAAAACCCCTATCTGCAAGCAGTACTTATGGGGGGCAAAGAGAGGGACTTCTGGTGGCAAAGGTCAGGGTTAGGGGGCAGGACTTCTGGTAACAAGATGGTGACCAGGGGGCAGGGCACCTGTCAAAGGGTGCAGCCCTCAATGGGTTGCCATAACTCAGGAAGCGGCCCTCCACCTGAAATAATTGCCCTCCCCTCGCCTACAGGTTGGATCAAGCCCAAATAACTATGCCATCTGGGTTGCAGGTGGTGTAGCCACCATTCACCCTGCTTGCTGGGTCCAAATCCAGTCAGCAAAGAGCCCTGCAGTTCAGCTCTGGCCATGGGGATGTAGTGCATTTGACAAACTGTACTGCAGGTTGCCTAAAATTTTCTATTATAAGACTGTCACTACAACTTTTAATCATTTAGACTGAAATTTTCCATGCCTGGTATCTGCCTCAGGTTGAATTTTTTTGGAAAATTTTACCTGAAGTGGCTTGGCCCACGTTGTTATTTTGTCCACATTAAAAATCTTACTAACATGTTCCTGAGAGGCTCTAGTTCTAGATCAGAAATTAGGGAGCATCTTTCTGTGGTTTAAGGTATTTATTTATCATTTGCTGGCTCTGTGAAAGTCCACTCAAATTTGGTTTAGTTTTAAGCTTCTGAAAAATTTCAGTTCAAGCATGCTCTGTAGAAGCTCATTAGTTTGTCTTCTGAGATTTACAAAGATTCTTATTTTAACTGGGCATACTCCATTCCCGGACTGGAGGAGCTAGTAGGACTTTGCCTGCTCCTGCTCCCTCTACCTGCCAGGAGGATGAAGTTTATCCAGGCACAGAAACTGAAAGCAGCTAGAAGAACTGAAAGATTCTCTCCTGTGCTCTCATTGCATAGGAGAGAGGCACTGGGGAGAAGATCAGACTGGAGATGACCTGGGTTGTACGGGTGGTAAAGAGAGGGTATTGAGAAGGAGTAACAGCAGGGAGGGAAATGTGCAGGGGAAAAGGAAGAAGGCTTTGTAATCAGTAGGCACTTTCCCACACTAGGATCTGGAATAAAAGTCAGAATCCATTGTTGCTTTGCTTTCAGCAAATAGCTAGTGAAACATCTCTCATTCCTGTCTAGTAGCTGGTCCATCTAGAGAACAACAGATTACTACTGAAGCCAACAACCTCATTACCTCAAATACTAGAGGTCTGCTGCTGTGGATCTAATTGTTCCAGCCCTGCTGCTGCTGCTATGTATGGAGGATCAGAATGGTTCCACATGTTGATCTGGGCTCGACTAGGAAAAAAGTTTTCTTTAGAAGTTTTTTTTGTTCATCCTTATGTTCTTAAAATTGAGTTAGCCCAAATTATTTGATATGCCAATTAGTACCTAGTAGAGATACAGTTTAGCACTTTCAAAACTCTGATTGGGTTGTAACAAAAGTGCCTTCCTGGAGCCAGCCACCAGCAAGAAATGTTGAAATTCAGATGGGAATTGGTCTACCAGTATCTCTCTCAGGTATTTATATGCTGCTGTCCCAGACTGATCTAGTTCCCTCAGATTTCAAAGCAGTCAAGTAGCATGATAATTAAGATGCTAAAACTGTCTACTCTAGGTACTAAATGGTGTTTTGTATCTTGTTAGTTAACTCGGTCTCAAAGCTATTTTTTTCCCTACGAAAGGCTTCAGAGACTGTATCCAGTTTTACACCTATCAGCCAGGATGTATGGAGCCTGATCCAAAAAGGGTTGAAGGCAATGAGAAGGTTCCCATGACATTAACTGGCTTGGAACAGGTTTTCAGTACACTGTGCCATACATGCTCCCAGCCAAATGCTGCAGAATTTCTTGTTGATTTGGATGACCAAGTGAACAAATGTGGTGTCCTGACAGCAAATAATCGTTCTGCCATTTGTACTCATTCAGATCTGCTGTGAATGCTGAAGGCAGGCAGCAGGCCAAAAGCAAGCAGAGTTCAAATTAAAATCAGTGCATGTCCTGCTGTATTTGTATGTTGGATAATTCAAAGTGCCACTTACTCTAATAACTAGGAGTCATAAAAGCAAAAGGAAAAAAAACACCCTGAAAGAGATGGTGTTAAATGAATTTACTGTTTTCTTTTAATTTGCTGTTTGTTGTATTTCAGTGTGTTTGCTGGCTGTCAGATTCCTTATCCAAAACGAGAATTCCTCAATGAGGATGAACCCGAAGAGAAAGGGGATAAGGTATAGTAAAAAAATACTGTCTAATGTGCAACAAAAATGTAATGATGCCTCTAAGGGAAAATTAATAGAACATGGGCTGTTACTCAAGAATGTATCTTCCAGACAAGACCATCCCAAAATTACTTGTTGGTACATTGGAAAGTATTTAATTAATAATATGTGGTAAATTGAAGTGAGTCAGATAACTTGTATTTTCTTTACACTTAATACACAGCCTGTTAGACACCATTAGCACTAATGTGACAAGAAGTAGAAAAAGGAAGGGGGCTTATTCTGTAATCAATAAGCATCCTGATGGCTACATGTAAAGGGGCTGTTATGATCGAAGAGGAACCCTTTGACTCTGCATGTCCTCTGATCAGGATGTTCCATACAACAAAGGTGTCCAATTTGATTTAAAAGTATGCTCATCAATAACACGTTTGAAAGAGTAGTGTGCACTTTTTCGGCCACTGTTGATTTATACACATTGTGAGACAAAAAAAAATGTCTAGAACAGGGACATGGTTAATCTACTAAATACAATAGGGATGATACTTTTCCCTAGCTTGCTTTCAAGTGTAGAAAACCCACAAAGCCTAATTAAGATACCATAAAAGTCATGATACTGATATGGTTAACATTCAGTGACTTACTTTGCTTTTTTTAAACTCCTACTACTTACCAAATAAGAAGAAACATCATGAGGTAAAATATCATGAGATAAAAGTAAATATTTGCATCTTCTTAGTAACTTTGTATTTGTTAAACAAAAATGCCATAATAGAGCATACATATTTAAAGCAGTTTAGTTTTGTAAATGGCCTTTGAGGACTGTCACATATGTAAGCATGCTGTAAATAAAGGTCTTGCAGAACATTTAGTTAATTTAAAAGAAAAAAGGACATATTTTAAATATATATTGCTTACTGAATTCCTTCTTACAGTGAAAAGTTATTTTTAAGCCAGTCTGCAGTATTATAAAAATGGATTTTGTGCCATGTTTTGGTACTTTATAAGGTATCAAAAAGGCTAAAAAGATCTTTAGCAGGATTTTTCCCCTGTTTTTAAAGCCATATTTAAAAATAAGAACAACAACCCATAACACATTTTCAGTTATGTCAAGTTTTGTTTTTGGGTTTCCTGGTTTAGCTGGAAGCCATATGGAGGGAAATCCTCTCAGCTCATAGCCAGTTAAAAAAATAAATCTTTAACAAAATATTCTTTTTCTAAAATGGTCATTAATCAGTGGTTAAATTCACAGACACAAACTAAATCCTAAGATCTTTCTAATTAAAATCCTCTTCTTTCAGACATGCAGCTGGATTTTCATTTTAGTAATAGGTGCATAGATAAGAAGAAGATGGTAGTACTGGGAAATATGCTGCTGTCCTTAGGCCTTTTAATACATAATTAGTTCCATTTTTTCAATGAGCTACGCAACTGCTGAATGTTGGGTTTACTTTACCAGGGAAAGTGAGGACACAACATATTATGTTGTCTCATAACTACTTCAATGACAGCTTTCTTCCATAGGGATCTCTGGGTAATCATTACAAGATATGAAGCCTACTCAATGAAAATAGCAAAACCCTTCAGTGCAGTGCTCACAAAGGAACATTGATTCTTGAACTAGCTGTTACTTAAAATAAGTTTGAAAACAGTACTATATTTCTTGAAACATATTTTAATTAAAGCTAATGATTTGCAACTGTAATTTCAATGAAACATCATGATGTGATCATAGGAAAAAGTAAGACCTAAATGTCCAGTAACAGATCAAAAATATTTTTTATTTTGCAATACAATAAAATGCGTTGATGACCTTTAATTAGCATTTCAAAACTTTGGAAACCACTGCCAGTACCTATTTTTGCTATCCTGTAGTGCAAAGGCACATGGGAGTCTGTGATAGAAGCTGCTCCCCTGACTCAGGCCAGATTTGTGCTAGAAAATTTGCTGGGATAGCAGTATTGGTTGCAAGTTACAGTGTATGATATTTCTATACCAGTCAGTCTTAGTGTGTGGATAGTGCTATATAGGCAAAAAGGTGTTTCTGCTGATTGTCACTTAGAGGAAACAGTGCCTGCAGTTTCTTTCCCAGTCTGTCTTGAGCAGTCATTCTAAGTGACAAATCTTTACCTGCCTTTCTCCCATACTGGTGTGCTTCAGTTCAGTCCAATTTAGCCTGCAGCATAGGGCTACCCCACCTGTTCTTTCATCCATCATACTGTCACAGCTATGTAGCCACCAGTGCCTTAGACCCCTTCGTAGTCCCTCTCAAGTAGGAGATTTTGCACTTATGCCTTTCTCTTGGTGGAATCCCTGGTTCTATCAGTCAGACCAGACGTATGGGCAGGAGCAGTTCCTGGTTCTGTTTGTGTTGATACAGACCCAGCTATTTTGGGCACCTGTAAAAAAACTTCCCCTCTGTAAGTCTGTCTCCAGCGGCTAGTTTAAGTGACTCAAAAGAAGTGTTTCCAAATATATTCTCTGTTTATTCAAAGGCACATAGTAATCAGAGAAAAGAGTTAAAACAACAAATACCATATATTATCTGGTCTTACCAAAACTTTATCCTTGGAAGTCTCAGAAACTTATGCTCAACCCAGACACCCCTATCTTTCGGCTGGAAGAGACAGATTGCACTGCTGCATTCTTTGTCCTTCAGTCCCAGTCTGCGTCTGTCAGTGTCAAGCAGCTATAGACAGTTTCATCTCTTTCTGTTGGGACTGCTTTTAACTATTGTTGGTCCTTTGACCATTGGACTCTGGCCTTGGAAAAACAGCTGTGTGATTCATGGCTGGTACCTGGGAAGAGAATGATCTCACTGGTTCATTCAAGCTGTCTCGACTGACCATATTTTTGTTCCTGCTTGCTCTTCCTGGCACTCCTTCTAGACCGGAGCACGGTTAAACGGTTAAATTAACTAATGTTAATTAGTTAAACTGCAATATAATATTCATAAAAATAGCTTCCATTCTGGAAACTAGGAAACACTCTACCTAAAAGCACTGTTTTGTTGCCTGTACTAGCAGGGTTAGCTGGTTACAGCTGTACTGGCAAACCTTTATCTAGTGTAGACTAAACCTCTATGTCTTACAAATGCAGCAGGAGCAGCAGCTCCATCACATAGATATTTCAAACCATTGAGGTAAGTTTCATGCCGCCTTTATCAGAAGTCAGAGGAAACATGGACTCTGCATTTCCTTCAGTGCTTGGCAAGCCCGAGTCATGGGGATTCCCACTGTTTCAGTTTTTCATGCAGTCCAGGTTTCAACTTGGCAGCTTTCACGATTTGCAATAAAAATGGTTCAGCTTAAATCCAGGCACCCATAGGCAAAACACCCCCGCAACATGTCACATAACTGATTTTTTTCTAAGACCCAGACATCTTAGAACTGTGATACAAAAGCAGTCTTAATTAGGACCATCATTTATATAACTACTAATGGCTCAGTCAACACCAGTAGATAAATAATGTCTTTTAAGAAAACATTCAATAGCAGTAATCTTAAAATTGTTTAGGAAATTAGCTTGTTGAAGTCTCTCTTAAAATAGGAACTGTCTCTGACTGGGTCTGAGGCATACAAGCAGTAGGAAGCATTCTTGGGTCACTGAACATGTACGTGAAACATCAGTTACTCCTAGGTACTTGAAAATGCCGGATAATCTGTGCTTCTCTCCACTCCTAAATACATACATTCTTATGAATTTCCTCTGGTGTGTAACTTGTGATTGCCACAATGTATGCCACCAGTGTACATTTTGACTTAATTTTACAGTGATAACTAAATAGCTTTTGGTTAGCAAGACTGTCAAAAAATTTCTGCCAAAGGCAATTGGTTTCAACAACTTATGGGAAGTTAGTTGCATCAGCTTTCTATAAAAACTGACCACATCAAAGCTTTGATAAATGGTGCCTCAATAAATGTATCCCCAAACAACCTTGTAATGAGTTTTCAATTCCATAACATTTTATAGTGTTTACAGCAAAGACCTTAACTGCTTTGTACGGCATCTCAGAGTTTTTATTTAAAAGTACGTCTGAAGCTGCAATAAAGAAATGTTTTTCTTTGTGGAGTGAGAATATTATATTTAATAATATAAACAGTAAATAAAATAGTCACGTTTGTAATTGCCTTGGCTGTATAGCGGTGCCCTTGATTGGGAGCCTCTGCAAAGCCCCAAAGCAGAGACAAGAATGATGCAGCTGAGATACTCCTTACATCAGAGTATCTGTCAATCCCTGGCCCATCACAGTCCACTTCTTGTCCCATTCCTTCAAGTCATTACGTCTCTGCTGTAAATAGTGTCATTTCTTGTCCTATTCCCACAGCCATTCTACCCATTCTTTCTTTCCTATTTGCTGCCAGGCCTTCCTGGTTTTCATTTATATTCCTCTCTCCCACCCATCTTTAGACACCTTTTGTCATTTCCTCATTCTACCTCAGCCTTTGTACTGCCAGAAAACTTTTCTTTTCCTTCAACCCTCTATCTTTGGACTATATGCCCTGTTCCTCTTCCTTCTTACTGCCACCAACAAAACTCTTCTGTATCTGCTATACCATGTGTGGCTTTCTTACTAAGGTATTTCTCATTGCAAGGTGTAAGATGCAGAGCTGTAATGCAGTACTGAGATTTGTTCCTCATTTTTCATGGGCGTGCTGCATGCATGGGGACAATTCACTTTGTGTCTATGTCTCTGTAAAATGGGAATAATGCTACTATCTGACAAAACTGCTGTGATGTTTAATTCATTGCCTGGAAAGCTGTTTTGAATGTTGGGTGGAAGGTATCAACACATTGCTATTTATTACTGTGCCCCACTGCTTTTTCTCGGTATACTACAGCTTATTTGCAGTAGTTCATAATGGGACCAGAAGTCAGGGTAAATAATGCACCTTATAGGCTGTAATGTATATAGAGAGCATAAGCTTTTGTGAATTTGATCTCACTTCATCAGATGCTGTGAAAGGACAAGCATAGAGCAGTGTATAAAGTGAAGCATGTGACCGCCATTTTCTTGATTGTGCCTTCTACCCTCCTCACAATTAATATGATCCTGATTGACTGGCTAGGGTTAGGAGTTTAGGCAGATTCAAAAAATGGGATTGGACAAATTCTTGGAGGAAAGGTGCATCAGGTAGCTCTTGAGCATGAGACTTGAGGATACAGCCTCTGGCTCAACTGTAAGTGCTAAAGACTGCAAGTAAGAGAGGAACAGTGGAAAAAACCCTGGTCATATACCCAGTTCACTTTCCCTTTCAGCATCCACTCTCTGCCACTGTGTGACACAGGATATTTATTGGGCAAGATGGGTGTATGGTCTTACCCAGTAAATGGTAGTTCTTATGAGTTACACATCTGCCATTCAAGTTGCTGTTTATCTAGGCCTCCCTATTTAATAAAAATAAAAATGAACCACAGATCATTTGATTCCAGTCAGTAATTGAAACCCATAAAGTTGAAATGACTTCAGAATTCCCCCAGCCCTCATCAGCACACATTCCTACCTGCAGCATGTGGAGGATGCATTCTTCACTTTGGTCCACCTGTCTCTTGTCCTGTGGCTGGTTGATTCTTACTCCTTGTTCTGTTTAGGGGCAGTTTGAGAGCATGTAATCCCAAACTAAACAAACAAACAAAAAGCCAGAAAAAGTTACCTTCCCTAGCTGTGCTTTCTCCTAGAATCAGCAGCAGCAGAATCAGCATCAGCAACAAACAGCACCTCAGCAGCAACAGCAAGCAGCACCTCAGCAGCAGCAACAGCAACAAAACAGTACCCAGACAAATGGGACGGCAGGAGGAGGTGGAGCAGGAGGAGGGGGCACTGGGGCAGGACTCCAGCATAGCCAGGACTCCGGCCTCAATCAGGTGCCTCCAAATAAGAAACCACGCATAGGGCCTTCAGGCACTAACTCAGGCGGGCCTGTTATGCCTTCAGATTATCAGGTACAGACTTTGGTTCTTCTCATTTGTGTTATTTTAAGGAGCAAGGTATAGTTGCACTCTTAAGATTTTTAGTGTGTGTGTGTGTGTGTGTCAGAGAACAAGTACACTTTAAGCTGAAGCTCATTGTCACCTGAATGCGCATGCTTCAGTTTAGAAAGGATTTTGCTGTCTCAGAGTTAACTGGAAGTGAATTGCATGCTGTTGCAGATATAGATTTCATCAGCTGTTCTCAGTCAATGAGCTGTATCCTGTACTGTGCTGAGCATTCTGGCTGCTATCCAGCAAAGAATTTAAATATGTACTTAACATAAGGCTGTGAGTAACTCTATGAAAACTAGTGGAAACACTGTCACGTACTTAAATGCTTTACACAGGATCAAGTTCGAAGCATTCAGCAACTTTGCAAAATTGAAGCCTGTGTGAAAAGCAGTCCTGGTAAAAAGTAGCTAAATGAGCAGCCGGCTCTTTAATTCCTGACACCTTCTCTTCTGCTTCATCAAGACGATAGGACCATTCAGATTCTATTATTTGTCCTAATCCTCGCTAACTGCTCTTTAATCTTAAAGTACAGTTCCTTTGTTACTGTAGCCTATGAACATTAGTGGATCAGCATGCTTTATTCTAAAGCAGGGCACTATAATAATGCTACTGTTTCATCTCAACTATAAGAGAAAATTCAAATATAAATCTTCAAATGTAGTATTTTATTTTTTAGTAGCAACAAATTGGTCTGTTATGTTCCTGTCTCAGTACAGTAACATTAGAATTTATTACATGAGAATGAAATTTCCAAATTAATTTTGAATTAGCACATTTGTCAGTGTTTACTGAAATTAGAGTATTTTTCCACTGAAAGTGACATATATTGAGAGAGACAAAAATTTTTATTAAACAAGCTCCCAATTATGTGGGTAGACCACAGTCATTTCTGATGAGATTCACTGAGTATTACTAGAAAAATATTTTTTTAATTTAAAAAAAATGAAGCCTACATTAAAGGCCTACATGTATTTTTTCAATAAATTATTGAAAAAAGAAGAGAATGGATATTTCTTGTAGTTACGGTTTTGCAGATTCTGTCATTTAGATCCTCTCAGAGAAGGATTCAGCTCAGCATGTATTTAATCTTTCTTGTAAATGCATAGCTGCTTTGACTTCATAATCCTTCCCTCACCGCCAGATAATTAATTTCTGGATGCTAGACATTTTCTCCCATTTTTTAATTTTCTTTCTTCATTGCAAGCTATTGTGAAGTTGTAATGGCCAATTAGGAGTAAAGGCAATTTAACTTTCTTTTATAAGTTTCAGCCTGGCTTTTGGTCTGGACAGGTCTCTCTAACTGTTCAGGTGCAGATTGTTTATTACTGCCTTGTTTCTGTCTATATTAAAGGATTTTTTTTTTTGCTAATTCTTGGATCCTTTGGAAGTTTTCAGAGTTCTGGGCAGCCCTCCCCCTCACAGTCTTTTCCTGGTTTAAATCTTATCTTTTTAGGGCAGTTACAGTGAGATGATTCTTCTCAGCCTGCAGCCATTTGTTTCAGTGTCTCCTCCCTTCAAGGCTTTCTTGCAGTGTATGTTATCTGTATATCCCCATTAAATCATTTGTTAATTCATACAATCTGATTATCTATTTTTACTTTGGTATTCGTATGCTACTTAGTTTTAGCTGGCTATCTGTCTTGTATCAGTAATGGAATGTCTGCAATTTGTCCAAATCTGGGCTCTGTTAAAATAAATTTTCTTCTGTGAGACTAAAATAAGCATAGGCTAGTTAATGCCTTCCTGTAGTCTTACAGCATTGATCTGACTCCCTTATAGCTTCTACAAAATTCAGGGGGCAGAATCATTTGATTTAGCTTTTGATTTCAAATCTTTTGATGAACAATATTTTATATTATTTGATCAAAGCCAGTCTGCTTTACTACTGCTTTAGGTTCTTTGTTTGTCTGCATTCTACTTTGCTTGCATGGCCTTGCTTTTTGTTTAACATTCTGACCTTTTCCTTTTCCAGCAATCTAGTCCAAATTCTTCATTTATGTTTTTAACGGAGTATAGATTAAACTTTATCACTGATGGTGCCAAAACATTTATTTCTTGTTCTCTTTTGAATGCCTGGACATTAAACATTAAGGCAACAAAACCTGAGCTTTTAAAAACAAAAACCAAGACCAGGGCACATCAGCACTTACTTGGTTTGAAAGCCAGATTTATTTTTTCTTGGCACAGGGCTTTGAAATATTTGACATGAAAAAGGGTATGCATTTTACATCCTCTGTTGAATAATGATACCTATTAGTAGACCAGTATGTTATTGATAAGGAAATGGGAAGACATAGGTAGGTTGACTTTTCTTCTAGGAATCTGTAAAATACTGTAAAGACAATAGAAAATTATAATATTCTTAAAGCTGCTGATGTTTCTTCATCTAGCCCAGATTCATGAGATTAATTCATTTTAATAAGATTAATGAATAACATCACCTTTTTGGTTTTGCAAAAGTTGCGAAAGTGGGGTTTGGTAACTCAAGCAATTTCAAGAGAAACCACAGGAAAATCAGTTTCTTTGTTTCTGCCAAACTGGGAGCCCAGAGACCCGATTTTAAAATTATAGTATATTATTATTTGAATTTATCACCAAATCTCTTCTGTCAACCAAATAGTCTTTCCAGTACTTTTACAGCACCCCATCTTGGGGAACAGGGTGAGGGTTTTGGAGCAAGCAGTTATTTATATTTGTTTAGTTAATTTTGGCATAGAAGTAAAAAATGATAAATATTAAATGCAGTCATCGTAGTTGGATATGACCTCTGTAACAGTTGACATTAGAAAGTAGGAATGTACCATAATCTACTTTTAAAAAGTGCATATTTTCCCTTTGAAAGCTGCCCTTTTTTGATTGAAAGTGTGTCTTTCTATGCGTCTGTCAGGCAGCTTGCATATTTTGGATAATGTATTAATAATAATGATTATTTATCATACTGCACTTCTATATTAACGTTGTCCAGTCACTTTTACCTGCCACTTGGATTTGAACGATCCTCTTGGCTGTGAAAAATTCCCTCAGCTGTTTTCAGTTTTTTCACTCTGCTTTATTTTTCTTCAGCACTCCAGCTCACGCCTGAGTTACCAAAGCAACATTCAGGGATCTTCTCAGTCCCAGAGTACGATGGGCTATTCCACATCATCTCAGCAGAGCTCTCAGTATCACCAGTCTCATCAATCTCACAGGTACTGAGAGGCCTAATAGACTGTGCTTGGAAAGGAATGGACTAAAAGCCAGAAGACTCCAGCAATATGAAGTTCATAATAATGAGAAGAACCAAAAATGCAAACTGCGATGCAGATTTAAAATTCACAATTACAAGAGGAAAACTTTAGTTACTGAAGATTTTTTTTCAGACAACTCTGTCCTTCCATCATTGCCATAAAGGAGATTCTTGTGAAGTGCCCCCCAGCTTCCCCTCGCATGTGTCCCGTTGTGGTTACTCTGATGAAATCTTCTGATCTGAACCCAGCACTTAACTTCTTTAACCTTTGGAATTTTTGAAGGATTCCTGGTGCACCTTTCTCATGCTGTATTGATCGCCATAAGTCTATCTTTGCAAATCTCTTTAATGGGATTTTACAGTTTTAAAATCTTGAACTCCCAGGCTTTCAAGCTTGTATATAGTTAGTTTTTTACTAGGCAAACCAGTTTAGCTATACAAGTATAATGCACCTTTTTAAAGCACTATGTTATTTTCACAGGATATTACTGTTTTGCTCATGGATGTCAAGAAAAGCGAATTTTACTGTTCCAGAGTATTTTACTATTCTGTTTTTATTAATCTAGTTTTCAGGCAAGGTCTTAAAAAAAAAATTAAAATAAAAAAAAAATAAAGGAAAGAAAAGAAAAAAAGTACCCACCCAAGTCTCTGCAGCAGCTAATATGCTGCATGCTACTGGACCGAACACCAAACAGAAGATCATGAATGTTTTTTAAATCATTCATATTGAATCCCATTGATTACAGCCATCACCTTCTAAGTAGCTTTGAATTAAACATTATTTTAAATTAGACCATGATGGTTACATGAAAAGGAGATGGCCTTCAGGGCTCTGCTGGAACAAAGCAATGGAACATCTTCCCTGGTTGTGCACCCAGAATAGCCAGGAAAATGCATTGACTGGCCTCATGTCTTGGTAGAAGAGAGTGTGGGGATGAAGGGCTTGTCTTTCTGTTAAACAGCTCTTTAGTATGTTCTGTAAATCCTGCTTTTGATGTTGCAGTCTCTTTTGTTGGTTTCCCTGAATCATTTATCTAAATACAGAAAATATTAAGACTTATAAAGAACAAAGAAGTATCCGTCTTTACATAGGATCATTACATTTAAGTAAAAATATTGTACATTTTAAAGAGCATGTTAAAAACTGTTCTAGTTTCTCATGTTTATAATGGATATTCTGTATTCTTCCCATTGCTGTGATTATCCCAGATTAGTTGCACCAGATGCACTTGATTGCACTGAAATAGGTTGGGGTTTTATTTGGTGTTTTTTTTTCCCCTTCCCCCAAGAGCAAATATATTTTGATTGTGCCTGAGGACTGTAAGTGGATGGATAACTGGCAGGCTATGCCAGGTAAATAATCAGCATTCACAAGCATAATCAGAGGACCACAATTCAATTAATGAAGCCTCAGCTATTCAGAGAAACGTAACATAACTTGAGGCAGCTCCATTTTATATTTCATTGCTTAAAGAAGGCTCATGATTCTCATTGCACTAAAACTGGAAAGACATTTATTTACTTTAAAATGTTACGAGCTGGATAAGCAGCCCCCGGCTTTTTTAATTGATTGCTGAAAAAGAGGTAGCAGAAGGAGCAAGCTATGTATAAAAAGGGCATATTATTGAAATTTACACTTTACAGTGTGGTCTCTTCTGTCTGACTCCGTGTTCTAGCCTGAATCCATGTGAGAATTTAGATGTAAAGCAGTAAACATTTCACAATAAATTAGTGGTAGATGTTAGCAGGGTGTTAGATATGTATGCCCCAAGGAGAATATTCATTCATCCCAGTCATACAAGAATGATAAATATTTCTGTGGAGACTGATCTTTCATCCCTGCAAAAATCTTTTATTTTTATAAGCAGTTGGAAATGTATGTGGTTTGGCCAGATCATGGGCCACATGACTTCGATGACATTGGTCTTCTCAGAGAAGTGTCTGGAGGTAAAATTAAATTTAAAATGAGTGAAAGAGCAGTGAAAGTGAAATGGAGCAATTTGAAGAGAAATATTGCCAATTGTTATTAGGACAAAACCATCTCCTACTGAATACTTTTCATCTTTATTCTCTATGATATTATGTGCCATGTGTATCTGAGTAACTTTGTTGGTGGGAACTGATTTTCATTGGTTCTTTACTTGAGTTCAGTGAATCTGCTAGGGTTAAAATCTTTTCCAGGATTAATTACCCCAAGTTTTTATTGAAGTTAGGAGGAGCCCCATGGCTGTATCTGAGGAACAATTTGGCCCCTGCCAACAACATTGTTGGATATTCTTGTGATTGGCTTCCACATTTCTGACTAGCAGCCCTTGATATATGCTGCTTTGTCGTCTCCTCTTCTCACCCCTCTATCCAGTCAAAGCACTATTGTCTCTTTGAGCATAATCGTTTAATATTTATACTCTTTGCCACCTCTTCAAAGTACTGGTAATGGCAGGAGGGGGAAAGGGACAAGTCTTCTCCTGGCTGAGTTGGATTCCTATGGTGCCAACAAAGTTAAATTTTAGTGTAGGTTCACGTATGTGCGAAGCGTGAAGATTCACAGCATTGTAATATGCTTTAATTCAGTGAGCTTCCATCCCCTAGAATGACTGCCATGAGCTGAATAAGTATTTCTTTATTTGCTTAATCTAAATCACTTATTGTGCTCCAGTGCCCTGCCGCTTCTGCGCGCATTCATAAAACTGAACTAACTCCTCCATTGCCTTCCAGGTAAAAGCTGAATGGGGAATAGATAAAGGGAAAGGTTACTGTTGGAAATGTTTACTGTGCACACTTACTTCCTTTCCTCTGCCAGTTGGTTTTTGGATGTTTGGTCTTTTCTGGTGAGTTATATGTGACTTTCAAGATGGATGGGAGCCAGCCGCAAGATGAAGCAGCCTTGTTTCAGGGGGTGATTTCACAAGGGAAAAATGCTCTTTTTGTCGAAAGGTTAATCAGGTAGTCTGTTGTGAGAAACCAGGAGCATGTATATTTTTGTGCCTGGTCAGTTATAGCAGTTGATACATACTGGTATTCCCTTTTTTTATCCTTACCCTGAACCTCTGTGTGCCCCCACAAAACCTGAAACCCAGTAATGGAAAGTGATACCAATAAGCCTTTTTTCCTGTTCTCTTGGTGATGCATTTGGACCATCCAGTATCATTCTGCGATGTTTCTGCTCTGGCCTTTGGAGGAAACACAAAAGTGGGGAATAGGATTAGCAGCATAGTCTACATTGGTGAAGTTTATGTAGCACAAACTGCACAATGAAGGAAGAATATTGTGAAAGCCGTGAGTCCTGCACTGTATCTGTGACACTGTATCTTTTTTTGGGGGGTGGGGGGGAGGGAAGAGCATTCTGAGAGGGGATAGGGGGGAAGCTTGAAGTATTCAAATGTGTATAATATTTTATATAAACATAATCTTAGTTCCCCTTCATAATCTTCAGTAATGGTACTTAAACACCATTAAGCAAAGAATTGTTTTAGGGTTAAATAAATGTATTGTACATAAGGCCATATGTAATCTTCTAAAAACGTTGCCACACAGCAGCGATATGTATTACTATATGAAAAAAGTCCTTAATGCACTGTTATCTCCTAAATATTTAGTAGTAAATTAATACTATTTAATTTTTTTAAAAATCTGTCTTGTGTAGACACTAAAAGTATTACACAAAATGTGGGCAGAAGATGTCCTTTTTAACAGCAATTTAAAGAACTTTTTATATATGTAATGTAGTATACTTTCAAATTGTTCTAGCTGTATTTTCCCATGTTTACTATTTGTGGACATTTGCCTGTCTCACTTCAGTTATTTTTTATTATTATTATTTCCTGCACGCATCCCTCATTTTTGTAGTTTTATTAGAGATTTCCGCAGCAGAGCTTTCCTGTTCTAGCTCTGTGGTGGGCACTTACAGCAGTGCCCCTGCTGATGGACTTCAAGAATCACAGGGCAAAATATTTGTTTCCCATTCTACAGTTAAAGAGTTTACTGCTTTTAAGTTGTCCTGATGTCACTCTTGAAATGACTGTTAAAACAAAACTATGAGTTCATTGCATTTATTTTATATTCTTGGCTGTAATGAAATTGAATTGACTTTGCTTCAGTGTGAATTTTTTAAATAAAAATAATATACATTTGTAATAATAATAAAATGTTCAAATCAGATAAGTGTGCTAGAAACTTTTGTAAACTTTAAGCTTTTGGCTTTAAGAAGGAAGATCTATCCCAGAGAAATGCAGTATGTGGTCAGGGTGTTTATATCATAAACCCCCCAAAATAGAGCCTGGAAAACCTAAAAGTTGGAATTATAGCTTTTTTAAAAATACCCAAGAGGGTATTTATGGTTTTGTATGTATCAAAATAGAATGCAGCTTTATGGACAAGCAAAACAGATTTGAAATGGTCTCATTAAGGTTTTGCTCTCTCTTTAAAAGTACTTTACTGTGCGGCAGTGATGCTGCTTGTAGAAATATAAGATTGCTAGTCTGATGGCCCTATATATTTGTCTTCTGAAAAAAGCTATAAGTTTGAGGCTAAATTTCCCCTCATTATATGATTTCTAGGCTGTCTTTGGTTCTAATGACTCAAAACACTAAAATGACAGCATGGAAACTGAAGGACATAAGTTAAAGAGCTTAGCTCTGCTTTTCAAGTTGACTTTTTCCATGCTCTGTTGAGCTTCACATTTTAATTCCATTAAGTTGCTGTTTCCGAGATGGTCGTCATTACCCTGGCTTCTTCATGAACTCCTCCCACTTTCTCTGTAAAGGTTGTGTATGATAGCATGGCTGACATTTATCATCTTCACCAGCATTAATGAGGTGACTTCAATTTTTACTGATTTTTTGGACAAGGTAACGTGTACTGGTGGTTTCCGACAAATAGAGATGGGACTGGCTTCTAGTTGCATGATATGTTTAAAGAGTAGGTATCATGTGATGCAGGCACATTTTCCTTTAATTTGTTTCTTTCTTTTACTTCGTTTATATTTATGTTCAGCGTATAGTATTTTTCACTTGAAGAGTCTGAAAGTACCATACAGAACAAGTCATTATGTACAGAATGAGAACCTGCGTCCTGGGAAGCAGCGACTCTGAAAGAGTTGTCTGGGGATTGTGGTGGATAATCTGATCATGTGAGTTCCCAGTGAAATATTGTGGCTAATAGGGCAAACGTAATGTTTGGATGTGTAAATGGGATGAACACAGAGTAGGGCAGTTTCATTGTGTCTGTTTTTTGCATTGCTGAAACCACTACTGAAATACTGTGTCTATTTCTGATGTTTATAAATCAAGGAGATAGTTGATAAATTGGAAGAGGGTTCAGAAAAGACCCATGAGAATGATTAAAGGGTTGAAAACCCATGCCTTTTGGTGAGAGATAGCAGTGGACAACAATCTATTTCAGTTATCAGAGACAACAGTAAGTGATTACAGTCTGTGAAGGACTGGCATGGGGGATCAGAAATGTGATAATTATGCCTTTATCTGCTTTGGTCTAGTAACTGAAGGGTGGCACTAGACAAATTCAGACTAGAAACAAAGCTCAATTTGTTAGCAATGGGAATAATTAACAATTAGAAAAGCTTACCAAAGATTGTAGTGGATTCTTCCTCACTGGCAATATTTGAATCAGGATAGGAAGTTTTCTGAAAGCTATGCTATAGTTTAAACAAGAAATAATTCAGGGAAGTTGTATTGCCTGTGTTATTATAAGAGGAGTCAGAAGAGAGGCTTACAGTTGTCCCTTCATATATTTCATAGACATTAGGGCTGGAAGGGACCTCGGAAGATCATCAAGTCCAGCCCCCTGCCCCAGGGGCAGGAAGTCAGCAGGGATCATAGGATCCCAGCAAGATAAACATCCAAATGTCTCTTGAAGGCGTTCAAAGTAGGTGCTTGAACCACCTCCAGCGGCAGTCTATTCCAAACCTTGGGGGCTGGGACAGTAAAGAAGTTCTTCCTTATGTCCAGCCTGAAATGGTCATGGAGGAGTTTGTGACCGTTTGACCTCGTCATTCCTTGGGGCGCTCTGGTGAACAGACCTTCCCCCAGATCTTGGTAAGCACCCCTGATAAACTTATAGGTGGCCACCAGACCACCCCTGACCCTGCACTTTTCCAGGCTGAAGAGTCCCATGGCTCTCAGCCTCTCATCATAAGATCTGTTTTTCTGACCTTTGACCGTGTGTGTGGCTCTCCTCTGGACTCGCTCAAGCTTCTCCACATCCTTTTTGAATTGTGGAGCCCAAAACTGGATGCAGTACTCCAGCTGCGGCCTCACCAAGGCCGAGTACTACGGGAGAATGATGTCCTGGGATTTGCTTGAGAAACATCTATGGATGCAAGCCAGCATTTTGCTCACTTTACTAGC